CTCTCTCTCTCTCTCTCTCTCTCTCTCTCTCTCTCTCTCTCTCTCTCTCTCTCTCTCTCTCTCTCTCTCTCTCTCTCTCTCTCTCTCTCTCTCTCTCTCTCTCTCTCTCTCTCTCTCTCTCTCTCTCTCTCTCTCTCTCTCTCTCTCTCTCTCTCTCTCTCTCTCTCTCTCTCTCTCTCTCTCTCTCTCTCTCTCTCTCTCTCTCTCTCTCTCTCTCTCTCTCTCTCTCTCTCTCTCTCTCTCTCTCTCTCTCTCTCTCTCTCTCTCTCTCTCTCTCTCTCTCTCTCTCTCTCTCTCTCTCTCTCTCTCTCTCTCTCTCTCTCTCTCTCTCTCTCTCTCTCTCTCTCTCTCTCTCTCTCTCTCTCGCCTTCTTTTTTACTCGCCGTGGTATCCAATCTTCTTCGGAGGCCGTGACTGCACGCACGTCAACGAACATTTGAGAAAGGAAAAAAATCGTGTCCGACTTTTCTGTACATCGACGACTTCCAATATTTTTATTTTCACCCATTCACTCATTCTTCTTCTTTTTCCTCCTCGTGTCGGCTTTGAGCTTGAGTATCCTGCTAAACATTGTCGTTTGAAAGGAATTTTCAGTCTGTCGGATATTTGTCCGGTTCCATCTAAGAGGTAAAACGACCAACAGTGACTGGAGATGACGGAAGATAAAATACGACAGGTAAAAATATCTCAGCTCGTGGTAGTTGAAAAGCCGATCGTCCATGTGCGGTTGATAGCCGTGATTATTGCAAATGAAACGGTATCCTTAATAATTTCGCCCGTGACACGGGCAAGAAACCAGACTATTCTATTTTGTCGACTTGACGCTGTTTCCTGATATCTTCAACCGGAAATTGAGGTTCTGTTCACTCGATCGTTAACGAACTTCCATGAATATTCCTTTCAGCATTGGACATCGAGTATCGAGAGTTATACGTATCGAACCGTAACCAAACGTCAACTCGAGAGCAACCGAGACGGGAAACGTATCGAGAAGACCTTAATTCTTTCGGCTTGTTCGTGATAACAGCGGCGTACAGCTGACAGACGGGAAACGGGAAGAACTATTACTTTCGTTTACACTGTGATGGGAATTCAATTACGGAACGTAGTTTCACGGTTGCTCAAAAACGTATCTCCACCGTCGATCTTCCCTCCGCTTTGTAGAGAACTAACGTCATCGCTGAATGGTACCGTTGCGTCCGTTATGACATTTAATAAATGACAAGAGCTAGGAGAATTGATTCGACGAAAAATAACAAGAGAGAGAGAGAAGAGAGAGAGAGAGAGAGAGAGAGAGCGAGAGAGAGATTGTGTGTGTGTGTTCTTCCACGTCGTTTGCTCGAGCTAACATCGGATGTGCCGCGACCCTTCTCTCGAAATTACTCCTAATTTTTCTGCCGCGAGTGACGGAACGAGATGAAGGGAAGATAAAACGCACACATAAACACTCTGTGTATAGCAACGATTCCCTCGATTGCTCAGCCATTGTTGACTCGCTCGGAATTCAATTCGGGGCTAGTGAATCGTCAGTATCTCGAGAATAATCGTGGTAGCGCGACAAGAAGGTGTTCGTGGATGCAAAGTCGTAAATCTCTGATCGCTAATTGAAACGATATCGCGCAAGCTTCCACGGCGGAGCTGTCCTAGTGCGAGTAGGAAGGAATGGCTTCTTCCAACCGTTTCTCATTTCTTCTTTTTGCTACTCGTCCCTTCTTTCGTTTCTGTTTCTCTCTCCCTCCTTCTCTCTCTCTCTCTCTCTTTCTCTCTGTCTCTTTCCTACCGAGTCTGAGAAGACGCTTATAGGACCCTCGCGAGACGAAAAGTATTCGTCGCGTTTCATTCTAGTGAAAGCTAGTATTCAGTTTCAGTGGTGTAGACAACACCGTTCGTGGGCTCGAGTTACGACTACTTTAGTAGCTCGAGACCGTTGGTGTTTCCGTCCGAGACGGCTTATTATAACCCTTTCCACCCCAAGGTTTCTGGCCTTTGACTCGGTCAGAGACGATCGATCCACATGGCACACCATCTCACGCGACAAAGAAAGAGAAGAAATAGGAGGATACGAAAAGATACGATACATTCTCTTTTTATTTTCGCTTCGAACGCCTCTCCACTTTCCCCTTCTGTGCACGCGGTGAACGCGACTCAAGCTGTACCATTCATTCGGGAAACCTCTCGAGCCAACCAAGCATCCTTTCAACTGGAAATAGAAACGCGATCGTTCAAGATACCGTCGGTTTTTCGGCGAAGTTCAACAAGTCCTTTTTCGTTTCTTGGACGGGCCACGCGTCATCGAACAATGACATCATTTTTTACAAACACAGAGGGAAGATAAAGCAGTTCCTTTCGGACCTTTGATCGCTTTTAGGGTCAAAGGGTTTCCAACTGAAGTGACATTAGCATGAAGCTTTATAACGCGTACTTAATTTTCTCGAGAAACGCGATGCCCTGTTACAGTCTCAGAGTGAGTTAAAAAGTGAATGTCAAAGGTATTACTTTTCCTAGAATGTAGTACTAATGAAAAAGGAAGATTTCGAGGAAAATTGTTATACTTTTAATCAGCGACGTCTTATCAAAGTTACAAGAACTTTGTTAAACAAGGTTTTGTTTAGCCATTGACTTTACTCACGCTATATATAAACCTGTAAACATATATACCTGTAAACTTAATTAATTCCGTTGGAATACTACTCAGAAACTTCGACAAATTTATATTTATAATATTTTGTTTCTTTTCGATAAAATTGAATGTTCATTCGGTGCTTCATTGACGACGGTTCTCATTATAAAAGACCAACATGAACAGATCAATTGTTTGTTGAACAATTGTTTATTTGTTTACAACAACAGATTGTTTATTTGTTTGTAAACAACAAATGTTTATCTAGTATTTTTAATTTTATAAAAGGGTGGTATATATTTTACATCACTTTGGTATAAATATATTATTTTTTAATTTAATCCTCCATTAACGAGCAAAAGTCGATTTATTCTGTATTTGTGACAGTATTTAAACTCCGTGAACATTTGGCAGGTTTACGATCAAACGATTAACTCATCGCTTCCTTATCGTTCGTCAGATTCGTAGAATAGAACAATCGAAAGAGCTTTCACACTTTTTCCGTTAATTATATTCATCCACGAATCTTGATATCCGCTCACGAAACGTCAATTATCTTCTTTGCGAAATTTTTATCGGTCCGATCAAAACGATTATTTAAGCCCGAATTCATGGAACATCTCGTTAGCCAGTTCGAGCGTTCCCAGACCGCGCGGGTCCCCTCAAATTAGAATATTATATTCCGGGTTTATAACGAACATGCATCAAGCACTGTAATTACGAATCCCACGATGCATATAATTATACATAGTTTCGTTTTAATCTGCGAAACGTTGGCGAAATTGCCGTCTCCGAAACGGAATCGAATTACATTCAAATTGCACACGCATAATTTCATATTTCCCCGAAACTTTGCACATTCTTCATTCGAACGAAATTTTATTCCACGAATCGTTGTTCTGTTTTTTCCCACTCCTACATTTTTCCATTCCTTTTCTTTCTCGGCGATTTTTATCCTCCGTAAAAGTCTAAAGATTACATGGTCACGAATACACCCGCTGTATTTCTGTATTTACGTAAGCCTGAGTGTATGTGTGCATACAAATGGCGTGTTGAAATCGACAGGAGGCTCTTTAGGTATTTATTTGTAAGCCTGGGTATATAAGCACCGTGAGTTCTCGTGTTGTGCCATTCGGAGAGACCTCGACAAACCGCCACTTAAGCAGAACGCCGGAAGGGTAGTTTCCTTCCCCTGTATTCAATTAGTACACCGCACGAAATATCAATTCCATTGCTGGAAAGCTCCTTCGACGTTTTCGAGTGTGGGGGAATAAGAGGATACTTTCCAGCGACCACAAGTACTCATTGCGCCCAGTTACCGAACGCTGTTAATCTATGGAACTTCGTGCTCTCCATTTGGTTTATCAGTCGCCATTTCAATTGATGTACATTTGCATACCCTTTATAAACCGAGTATTGTTGCCTCCATTCCTTTAAATGGCAGTTTTTAAATTCTGACGTAGTATCTGAACCTCCATTTTCAACTTTTTTAGCTTTCATTCCGATATGATGTTAAGAACAACCACTGTCTTTTCAAAAAGAAAAATGGTTAGCGATTCGTGTTAAATAAAAGAGACTCAGGGGTTGTAGAGTATAGTGTATAAAGTGGATTCTTTAAACGTGGAATGGTATTTCAGAGCTTTTTACAGGAACGTTTTTCTTTATCACGTATAATTACGATACCTTGCTACATGACGCGGATCGCAGGGAGGAAACATTGGTAGCATTATATTTTCATTGGAAAATATACAACGAATATAACGCGAAGTATGATAAATTTCGAGAATATATTTCCATTGTTTCTACCGCAATGAATAAATATAAATATTAATAGTTACACAACTGCATCTACGTATCTGCATCTATGTATTTCGCACGCTTGCCGAAGATATACTCGGAATTTATTTTCAAAAAATACTATTCTTTCAAACAAAAAAATACCATCGTATATAGTATATTGTGATATAATTTAATTTTTCTTGTAACTGTAGCAAATATTTTTCTACCGGCCAAATATCGATATGGCCGAAGAATCTTTAAACATCTCAAAATATTTTCAAATTCCATGCAATTGTGCTTACATCACTGAATTTGCAAGAATTCCACGCCAGCTAATTATTTCGAGCTAATTTTAATTACGAGCCACTACTGTTCATCGCGATCATTGTGCAAAAATTTCTGCGCGTACTGGGCGAATTCCGCTACATATTCCGCAGGTTTGAATCCAATTAGGAACTTTCGTTTCGTACCATTCTTTCACCCAACCCCCGTCCCCGTCCCTGCAGCTCCCAATTTCGGCCTTTTAGTTTATTTATTTTCCCTTATTTAGCGCTCACGTGACTTCCTTTGTATTAATGATCGAACTTCGTTTATTTTCCAGAATATGGACGTGGCGAAGGCTTCCGAGCGTTTGCTGAAACTGGCCGTGAGTATAATCCAATTCAGTTGAAAACAAAGTAGGCGCGTTCTGTGGACCAGAAACACTTAAGCGCTTGCATCATCGAAGCGTGATTAAATCTACGAGAATTCGTATCTTTTAATGTGAGAACGTCTTCGTATCTAATTTTTTTTTTTTTTTTTTTATGAAATGCCAACAACGAGCACAAGTCATTTGTTTTTAAAATGCAATCGAAGACAAAAGTGGACTGTAAGCATACGTATGCATCAATGAAGTTTAATCCAACTATTACTAGTGTTGTATGTTTAAGTTTTATTTATTATATATACTTGTAGCACATAAATAATCTAGTAAATAATTGAAATTAATTTTGTGCAAACAAATCGTATTTGACGAAACTTCATCGATACCTATTTTCGCTACTGTCCGCTTATTTTTGCCTCCGACTGTATTTCATCGGTTCGCGATAAGAATTCCTCGAAAAATAGTAAACGTGGAAACCACGTTCTCTCGTTAGAATTACTAAACCTGCCTCAAATGAACGTTTCCTGTTTCCAGCCAGACTCGTGGCGCGTATTTTCTCTCAGCAACGTACGAACTTATACCGACGCCTGTGCGAAACATTATTGCACCTGTGTTCTCCGCGAGATCCTCCTAGAATCGTTTGCCATCCCGTCGCCATCCGCTTTTAGGCGGAAAGCCTCGGAGCAATATTTGCGAATTCAATCTCCTTTCCTGTTCGCGAACTCGTCGGTCCTCGCTGGAACAGTGAAAGCGATGTGCGATCTCGTAACGTCGAGGACCGGGAACCGTGTCGTCGATAAGTATACCACTTAATACAGTGCGTCGTTGCAAACCTCTGGCGCGGATAGACACGGCGAGAACGTTTCAGTTTCGATTTGGCGAAACATGGCTACAACCGTTTCAATGCACTCGCTTGTGAAACTTTCGGCAGAAAGTACGAATTCATGATTCAACTTTCGTCCTATGTACAGCCGGCCGTGCACCTTCGCGTCGTCGTCTCCGCGTGAATTATACGCTCGCAGAAGTCGTAGAGACTGCCGGGTAACGGAGTTTTCCTGTAACTCGTGCTGCCTTTGCCATCGATAATCGAGCCAGCAACTCGAGGCAACCGCTCGAAGGGAGAGCTATTCCCCCTCTTAATAAGATATTCTTTCCTCTGTCGTGCCGGAGGCGACGTTTTCCTCCGCGGGGGAAGTTGCTTCGTCGATTCCGGAAGTGGAAGGCAATGTAACTCCGATGCGGCACGTATACGTATAATTCTCTTACGAACTTCGTATTTCCTGGCCGGTGTTCCGAAAGCAATGGAGAAGCTCCGAGCGCGTCGTCGACGAAAACATATAACAGCGGGAGGCCACGTCCGCCATCTCGTATTCGGAGTACTTTCGTTGCCTTTAAAACGCGTACCAAGGTAATTTCATGAAGCTTCTCTCGCATCTTCATTTTACTTGGGTATTCCTCCCCACCCGATTGTTTCACTTTGGAGGCGGTGTTGCTGCGTGACACCAGAAACAGCGATCGCGAAATACGAATAGTTTGTGATATCTCCTGGGCGTCGTTCATTTGCAAAGGGCTTGGGAGCTTTAACCCGCGTAGTTCTACGTGTATGGATTTTATCGAGTTTCGAATGGCGAGGGGAAATAGCCGCGTTATCCTATAACCGGCGACGTAAACTCGGAAAACACAGCTTCATAATTTGACACGTAACATTTGCGGATACCATTAAAGCCACGATCCGATACTCTACCTCCCATCCCGCCCACCTCCCTTGGACCGCACTTTCAATGCGTTAATTAAAATTTTCACTTCGGGTTTACAGCGATAACAGTACACAGTCTCGTGTAGCATGTTGAAAGGGGTCACACGATGCGTAAAATACGCGTCGGGACTGGCGTATCAAAGGAACAACGCGTCCATCATCAACGATAAAAACCATTAGATTAATTCTGTATAATGTGATATCGCGGAACGCTGTTATTCGCGTACGAAAAGCCGACGGCGATGTCGGGTGAAAATGGGGGATTGGGGGTCACATTAATGGAAGGGTAATCAGAAAAATGGATTTTCGAGTTGACCCCGTCCACAACATTTTCCTGTATTAACGTGAAAGCCATGTTCGGCTAGAAACAAGTGTCGTGCAAATAAGCAACCCCTGTCGTCGATAATGGACGAAGGATTTTTAGCCCCGCGAGCGCGGGAAAACCGTAAATGTAAATTTATGGTCCGTACCGGTGTTTCTGTGACAGCCTCGTCACGTATAACTAATATGCCTGACAATTGAAATGTTTAATATCGGTCAACGTGTTGGAAAGAGCCGTGCATTTTCGAAATATTCGCCTTTTTATACGATATTCGTTTGTAGTTGATATATTAATCGAACGACGAGCCAACGCTCGCCAAACAAAGGATCGATTGGCACGCGAAGAAGAATATGTATGTTCTCTCGTTTGAGAGCGAGGAAATTTGAACAAGCACTCGCCAATGAAATCGTACAATGTGTACAGCATGACTCTTACGAAATGATTGATGTTGTTCCCTTCGAATCTCGGAGATTCCTGATGGAATCTTTCTTTTCACTGCGTACTTCAGGATTTTAAATTATACAGATCGCAACAAAAATCTTTCCATATCGATCGATTCTTTCTAAAATTCTAGAAAACGTGTCCTTAACATTCAGTTTCATCGATCTAAGGAGATATAAAGATTTGGGGTTCCGATGGAACTTTTAAATTCGTCGTTTCCACTACTTCGGTCTTTCTTAAATCTACCCAACCTGGTCGACGAATCGAAAGAAGTTTGTTCAACTGGATAAAAGTTCGCTTGTCTCTGTAAAAGGCTACCAATGCAGTTTATCACAGACGTTTAACAAATATTCTGCATTGTTTACCACACAGCGTTCGCCAAAATGGCATAGCTTCGCTCATCGAAGACAATCGGCTGTGTGCCAAGAATCACCCTGTATATTTTACTCGCGTCTTCGCTGTTGTGTTGGAGGCAATCTGCCATGGCGTCCATCGAGATCGTCAGCCCGATTCCATTCGATCGTCGTTACCCGTGCTCGTTATTCTCTCGTTAGTCCGAATGCTCCAGATCGAAGCTAGCCAGCCGTAGTGTTTCGATCAGTGAACCGGACTCGGTGAACCGAATTCAATTATATGACTTGGTCCCAAAGCGACTACCGCGAATGTCCTCTTGGAGCGTGTATAATAGTCGTGTTGTTGGTTGTTTGCGATTAAAACACGCCAGCCGAAAAGTCACGCATGGCTGAGCTTTGCTAACAAATTTTTGCCGGGTGCCAGTTAATTGGACCCATCGCGTCATTAATTATCGACGTCTGCGGCTCGACGTGTAAACAACAGTCTAGCTAGTCTGACGTTTTGCGGAAAAATCAACCACATCTCTCTCTCTCTCTCTCCCCCCCCCTCTCTTTCCCTCTTTCTCTTCACCTTCGAGGATTATTCGATTTCTCTGCAGGAAAAAAGCTCGATCACGCGATCAAATAATTTTGAAAAAGGGGATTACTGGGAAAAATCGAAGAGCAGAGGATCGAGTCGACTAGTAATAACCTTCTCCAAGAGCGATATCGACACAAGCTTTAACTGGAAGATATAAGTGGTTCGGTCGAAGGTTCCTCGGGGCGAACGCAACGAAAACTCCTCTTCCAATCTCATAAGTCACGCCACGAGAAGGATTGCTCATTCTTGAAGCGCCTCTTTTGTCCCCTTTTGTTTTCTACCTTCGCCGTATCATGCTGAGAGCGAAGCGAGAAAGAGAGAGACAGAGAGAGAGAAAGAGAGTGGAAGAAGTTTGAAACGGGAAAAATAATTGTTTGCCGATCGAAGGAGCGAAATCTGCGACAACGGAGGGTCTGCAGAAGAAAAGAAGCCCTCGAGAGAAAGAGGAGACCACCTCCGGGATACACGAGCCTGATACAGGATCGAGAGAATCCTTATTTTCGTTTACACCGCAAATAACTGCGAGGCTGTTCGCACAGACCACTGACCATGATCGTCGTCGGTTAATTGCGGTTCTTATATACGAACCTCGGTTGAACTTGGAAAACAGAGGGTGGCAATGTTCGACCAAGGGGATGGATCGGTGTGTATAGAGATGGTCGCGAAGAGGAGGTGGTTTCGGTACTGTAATGTAGGACGAGACTTTAATCTCGTCGTAATGGGGAAACGCAATTTTCCTGCAGTCCGTTGCCAACGAGGTCGTTTCCTTAGATCGATCTACTTTATACGAGCGCGATCCTTCGCCCCGTCCACTCGTCGCTCGTTTCGGAATCTCTTTGACGCGCGACAGCCCCTCTGACGAAAAAGACGAAGTACCAGGTGAAAGGAGGGGAGGGGAAGACCATGGGATACACAGACACTCTCCTTTTGCTCTTTTATTCGGTGTCGACCATGTGCAGATCGTGTCCCGTCCTCATTGCAGTTTCCCCTGCGTTAGACTCTAATGTGTACTTTATGTATATATACGGAACGAACGATCGATCGATTTCTATCAATAATGTAGGCATATTGGATTCAGAACTACGACCAGAGAAGGGTCCATTGAATTTCCGATATGTACTTACTCATGGTTGAACGTAATATAGACACGATCGTGATGGGTGGTATCGTTAACCGATCGGGTAAAAGTGGCGGATAAGTGCGATCAACGATCGTCGTAACAGTTTATGTATCCGACTTGCGCTGATTGCTAATTCTTTGGCAAGATTTATCGTCGTTCATTATACTATTCGCAATATTTTTGACTATTTTTGTTGTATCTTAATCCTACATTTTGTAACTCTAATAACGTATACATTTTGAAAATTCTTGAATTGTTAATCGATACTCTTTCCATTTTCCTCGGAATCTTTACCACGTTTCAGCTTCGTACTCTCATTTTTTTTTTTTTTTTTTTTTTTTTTTTTTTTTCTTTTCTTTTTTTT